ATAGATAGATAGATAGATAGATAGATAGATAGATAGATAGATAGATAGATGATAGATAGATAGACAGATAAATTATCTCTTCTTTGGATAAAAGAATTGATTGCAATTTTTTTTCCTGCAGTCCTAACTATCCATTGAAGCCTCTGTCTGTCCCATTTAGTTGCTGTACCAAAGCAACTAAACCATCTCTGTTGTGCAAATGCAGCTCTTGGCCTTCAGCTAATTTCCTACATCTTGGTGAAAATGAAGGGATTCAATTTAGCTGAGTAAATCAACCAGGAGAGCAAGAAGGACTTTTTTTTGATGGGGAAAATGGAAGCAACAGAAATGGCAGAAGACACAAAGAGGAGGCAGTGTTAGAAGAAGAGGGGGGAACCCGCCTCACTTTACATTGAGGGGGGGACTGTGTGGAGTGTTTCCTCCTTTAAATTCCTGGGAGTCTACCTCAGTGAAGATCTTACCTGGAAAACCAACACAACCCAAGTAGCCAGAAAGGCTCAACAGAGACTCCATTTCCTCAGGGTCTCGCAAAAAGAACAAAGTGGGACGACTGATGGCCTCCTTTTACAGGTCCACAATAGAAAGCATCCTCACATATTGCATGACGGTGTGGTATGCTGGCTTGACAGCCGCAGATAGAAAGACACTACAGAGGGTGGTGAGCACAGCACAAAACCTAGTGGGCTGTTCCCTGACACCGCTAGATGACCTCGCTAGGGTTTGCTGCCTTAGAAGAGTGAGGAAAATCCTCAGGGACCACTCACACCCTGGTCAGCCCTCCTTCACTCTCCTACCATCGGGAAGGAGATGTAGAAGCACAGCCAGCCGCACCAACAGGCTGAAGAACAGTTTCTACCTGTGGCTGTCAGACTCCTGAACGGAAAATAACTTCATGTCAACATAGTAGGATAGACTTGCGGGGCCGGCGCATTGTGCAACAAGGTCACTTAGTGTAATGAGATTGGGACTGGGTTAGGGACTTCTGTCCTCACTGTGAGTTGTGTTGGGGGGGGGTTTGCATGAAGAGAGGGTCAGCTAATCTCATTGTACACATGTTGTACTCTGACAATAAAGGTTGATCGATTGAAGTTGCTGGCGTATTGCCGTTCGTGGGTGTTTCCAGAGACTGCTGATTGAGCATAGCAATGACGATTGCTCGTTTGCTTGCGTGGAGCATGGCTGAGTTAATGGAGCCCACTTCTGAGAAATGTAAGGAAGCCAATTCCCAGAAAGTCAGCATTCAAAGAAAATTTTGGTGAGAAGGGTTTATTTTATTTATTCATTAAATTTACTTGCCATCCATTTCGTTTCGAAGTGACTCTGAGCGGCTTGTAGCATGAAAACACTAAAATCAATACACATATTCTTCTTGAAGGGTCCCTTCCAACTCCGTTAATCTGCTAAATACAATACCAATAGCATTCAAATAAAATTTAGATGGTATTATTTTAGTAGCATGTAGTAAAGTTACCAAAAACGCTTACATTATATTGAGCTGGTCTGATCAAATTTCAATTCCGTTTGGTAATTCTTTGATGCCACTTCACTACCCAGTGGGAAAGTGACAAGATAAAATAAATCTGGTTTGCTAAACCTGAGATGTCTATGTGTATGAAAACAATGGCATCAACAGTGATGAAAATGAAGTAACAGATAATCAGAGTTGGAAGGGACAATTGGAGGGGCATTAAGACTAGTTGTAGGCTTAGCAACTGTGGTAAGAAAGGTCATAAAACGAGGCAAAACTCAATAAATGTGTCACAACATAAATTTGGGGGTCCATTGTGACTGTAAGTTCAGGCCATTTGTCAGAAATGGTGTAGGGTCTCCCACTTGAGCGGGGGGTTGGACTAGATGACCTACAAGGTCCCTTCCAACTCTGATTATCTGTTATCTATCTGTATTTTAGCTAACAAGGTTATGAATCCTCAGTGCAAAACATTCTGGGTGTTGAAATTTCTCTCTCTCTCTTTCTCTCTCTCTCTTTCTCTCTTTCTTTCTGTCTGTCTCTTTCTGTCTCTTTCTCTGTCTCTCTCTCTCACACACACACAAACACACACACACTTAAGAATAACACCCAAACACTTTGGCAAAGGCTTCCTCATTCACAACTTGACCCAAGACAAATGAAAAATACAAGACTTTTTTCTGGTCACATTGTCTGAACTTCAGGAGGAACCTGTTGCTCTTTCTGCCTTCTTCTTCCAAGGTCGCGACCGACTCAACCGGACAGCAGAAATTCCTCCTTTTCCCCCAAAATGTCAAGTGGGAAACTTTCAGGAGGGTCCCACTTTCGTTCAGGTACATGAAGCCGATGACCCGTTGCAGGAAGAAGCTGATGGCGTATAGAAAGGCGAGGGTGGAGAAGAAGAGGCCTGTGACCCAAATAACCTGGTTTATCCCGTGGACAAACCAGACCGGAGGGAGGATGAGCAAACCAAGGCCCGTCTGCACCACCTTCAGCCTCGAGAAGAGCTTCAACAACCTGATGGCCGGGAATCGGTAAATCAGGGTAAATTTCTCTGAGTTTTCACAGCTGGACGGTGGCTTTGGATCGCGCTGAGACGAGTCGACGCTACTCAGCCACCGGGGCTGCACCCCGCGAAGAAGGCTGGGCGTCCGGCTACCTCCCTGTTGCAGAACGGTAGGACCATGAAAAGAACGGAGCACCTGGTGGCCTCTTTTCCACCACTGGGGAGTGAGGCCGTTTTGGAAACAACGGGGCCCGAAGAGGACCAAATGACGACACACGCAACCAGCGAGGATCTTCATCTGTAATGAAACAGATAAAGGTTTTCATCCAGGTGCAAAGCGGGGTAGAATTTTTACAGCAATTGTGTCTTTTCAGAAAAGTAGTACCTTTGTGATCAGACGTGTGTGTGTGTGTGTGTGTGCGTGCGCGCATATATATATATAGATTAGATTAGATTAACAGAATTGGAAAGGACCTTGTAGGTCGTCTAGTCCAACCCTCCCTCCAAAAAAAAGTCCCAAAAAAAATGCTTTCACTTAAAGGATAAGACATCGTGTTTGAGGTAATTATATTTTATTTTGCTTTACCTGCACGTAGCTATAAGGATTCTTTATATTCCCCGTTCCCAGCTTTTGCCTTTCATGTTTTAACATTTTATTGAGTTATAAGATCCCTCAGCAACAAGCTTGGATTTGGAAAGTGGGCAAATTCTAACCCAGTTTGGACTTGGATGAGAGACCATTATAGCAACTCCCAGGGCTTAGGCGAGAGTGCAAAATCTAGAACTTTTTGGAAGGAAACTGAGGCAAATTATAATTGTTATATGGACAAGAAAATTGTTTCTATGGCAAAAGGATGCGCCCACCGAACCCATTGTTACACCACCCCTACTTGGAATGCTGTCATAGCAAGACTGCAAAAGACGTTGCAGAATAGCTTGAAAAAACAAGGATACTTTGAAAATACTTCAACAGTTCAGAATAACCAGGGAAAACTTACTTTTTCAAAAAAGCCTAGTGATTTTGTCACCTTTCTTATTCTTTATATGTCAGTTGTCTTTCAAAACTTTGCCAGTGAATATCTTACTAATAAGTGAACAGCTATTAATTAAAAGGCTGTTTCATCACTGAAAACTTACTGATCAAATAGAGGGTGAATGTCAAATGGCTCTGCAGATTTTAATATTTAAAAGATATACCATTGCTTTGAAATATGTGATTAAAGGAATAGAACCCGTTAATAACAATAGCAATAACAACACTAATAACAACACTAACAACACTAACAATAACAACAACAACAACAACACTAATAACAACACTAACAACACTAACAATAACAACAACAACAACAACAATAACAATAACAATAACAATAATAATAATAATAATAATAATAATAATAATAATAAAGGTCAAGGTGCCCACTATTCTGGGTTGGTCTCCTTTCCACACCAGCCCCCAGACCCAACCTCGCTCGCCCTGTTTGCAGACCAGCCGGGACCGCCCTCCCTGCACTCCACTCAGCAAGGAGTCCGCACACACACACACATACACGCCCGATTGCAGGCATTCCAACGCACCGTGCAAGAAACCCCGCTTTGCACGCACGACCATTCCCCAACCCGACCGTGTAATGCAAAGCTGGGGAAGATGGGCTCTGTAGTCTAAGGCGCCGAGAAGGAGGAGGAGGAGGAGAAGGTGATCGGATTTACCGCGGGAAGCCCGTGCAGACACCCCCGGGAGGTGAGACGGCGCGGTGCCTGCTGGGAGTTCCGGTGCACCGCGCGTGGAGGGCGAGTGACGTCATCACCTGAGGGAGGCGGCCTGGGATCCCCGGGTCTTGGCAGTCCCTGGCGCGGCCACCAGATGGCAGCAAAGATACGTCCAGGGGAGGAGAGGGGGCAAATTCCCGGGGTTTGTCGCCCCATTGGCCGGTCGGGAGTCGTGCAGAGTTTGGTCCAAAGAGGGGGGAAAGGCCAGGCGAGAGTAAACACTGCAAATGGTGTCTCCTGCTTGAGCGGGGTTGGACTAGATGTCCTTCAAGGGTCCTTCCAACTCAGTAATTTGCGTTTGGATGGGCAGCACGAGGTTTTTCCTCTTTTGGGGGGGGGGTAATGCAAGAACAAGAAGAACAACAATAATAATAACAATAAATAATCTGTTTAGAATGAAAAAGTCCTTGGTTAGGACTCGAGCTGTTGAGCTATCAACCAGCCCCAAAGGTTGTGAATCTCAAATAATAATAATAATAATAATAATAATAATAATAATAATAATAATAA